TGCTATCTCATAGTGGAAACATCTCCTTTTTCGTGTACTGAATTCGTGTGGAAGCATCGCAATTGAATGTATATGATTCTAGATGTACTTGGAAGCTCGGGGTACGGGTGAAAGAGTAGGTAGATTGTCCGGGAACGCGACTAGTAGTCATTCGGAACGACAGGCCTATCCGGAAGGGCTCGCGCGCCTTAGAGGTCTCGTGTAATTTGTTAGTAGACGAAGAAGGTGGGTATCGAGGACGCCAGGGCCTTGCCGTCCCTATCGCGCCAGCTGTGCCCTGTCTGGAAGGAGCGAGGGAAGTAAAGAGGCACGCGCCACTTGCTCCAGGTTTTTTCGATGAGTTGGCGGATTACAATTCTTGATAGCCTAGTCCCAACCTGAAGGTATCTGCGTCCGCGCAAAGCACGATATAATAGCTTGGGCGAGAGCAGCTGTTTTTGAGAATTGCTCCGGTCTGGTTTCGATAGAAAAGTCGCCGAGTGATGCGTTCAATGAGATTGGGCGACCAGGATGTGGTATCTGCGAGCACGAGATGAGAACCAGGAGCAAGTAGAGAGCCAGATGGAAGTGGATGCCGAGAAATGAAATCAGAACAGCACCCGAATCAATTTCTTCCCGTCCCTCATCCAAATCCGTTCTGCCACTCTCTCTCGCCGCACTCCTTTCCGAACCACTCTCTGCAATACCACCCACAAAGCACACTCGGCCAGGCGCGCCTTGAATCCGTGATTCTCAGGCACCAACGAGAAGCGTAAGTCTCGATGCGCTTCCAAGGATCGTCCAGATACTCACGGAGTGCACCCAATCCATTCTACTTGCCCTTCCAATCTTTCCGCGTCGCTCGCGTGCCGTTTCTTTCGTTCCACACGGATATTATGCGTTTCCCGCTTGAATGGTACGCCGCCATTCAAAAGAGACCAAGGGCTGTTTCTCATACATCTCACAAGCTGCAGCGCCCCGCAGCACCACGTCGTCACTGGAACGTGGAAGCAACAAGGCCCGCGCGTTCTGGAATAACTTATTATGGCCTTCACGCTCCACCGACCACACACACCCGACTCGCCGTTGACCAACCGCGACAGCCTATACGACGCCACTGCGACCATAGACGACCTCACCCAAGCCCTCGAGAACGTATCGCGCGTTCCGTCCCCGGAGCCACTCTCCGCGCTTTGCTGCTGTTGCGGACTGGACGATTGCGAGAATTTGCAGGCGTGGCTGGCCGTCAAGGCGAGGCTGGAGAGCCGGTTAACGTTGAGTGCAGGTGCGTCCGCGACAATTTTCGTGGTTAATCTGCAAAACTGACTCGTTTGTAGAAGTCGGGCAGGCGTTGCTGCAAAGACACGAAGCGTATGTGCGGAGACATGAGGCCACTTGCCACGCGCCGCCCGATCTGTCCTTGGAGGAGGAACCTGAGAGTAACGAGGCAGCTCTCGCGGCAAAGCAGGACCAGTTGGATGAGTTAACGAAGGAGAACAAGGCTTTGGAAAAGGTGCGTCGTCCTTGAATTCAAGTTTCCTCATTCTCATTCTTCTACAGCGCCTCACCCAAGCGCTCGTCAACAACGAGGTTACCGAAGTTTCTCACAAGACCATATTGCAAGAGCTCGCCGAAGCCAAAACTACCATCTCACGCCTCACCACGTCTCACGCCCGCTCGGTTGGATGGGACACGCGACTATCGGCGGCGATGAAGGAGAAGGATGATATGCAACAGGAGCGCGATAGCGAGTCGCAGCGGGCTCGTCTTGCCGAGTCGCGTTTTGCAGCGCTCAAAGAGCGGACGTGTACGTCATTCAATTTCTACCGCGACTTTTGACTGATTTTCCAGCAGCAAAACTTCAAAGTGACGTCCGTAGACTTCAGGCTGCCTTGGAGGAGCGGCGGGAGCATCGACTTGAATCATCAGAATCCATTCTCGCCGATGCTCGCGCGCGTATTGAGGCGTTACACCGTTCAGTCGGTGCGCCTCTAAGCGAGCAGCCAGAACTTGCCAGCGTACTGGAGACTCTGGTGGACGATAACGAGACGTTGAAGCGTGATAACGCCGAGTTGCAGACCTTGCTAGCAGATGCTCGGGAGGATTGCCGTGCGTTGCAAGAGGAAGTCGAGGATCAGAGGGTGAATCCTCCGCCACCCCGAAGTGGTGCCAGTACACCGTCTCACCTTCGACAACATTTCCATACATCAAGTGTTACATCTGTGATGCTGGGTCCGGTATGTACCTCTCATCATCTATCGAATTGACTACCGACCATTTCCATAGTCTTATAACACAGACCGTCGAACGTCTCGGCGATATGTAAGTCGTATTTAACAAGTTCATGCAGCTCCCTGATTCTCTATCCAGGAGCCATTAACGCCTGAAACCGGTCGACGACCTCTGTCCCCAACCGATTCGTTGGCCAATTCGGAGACAAGATGGACATCATTCGGGCAAGCTCGACAACCATCGCCCAGCATTGAAGGGGAGGAAAATCAAGACGCGGATGTTGACGCGACGCTGGAGAAACGTCAGCACCGACCTCTGTTCCTGCTCGCGCGTTCCCGTGGAGTACAGACCGACCCACCACGGCCGCCCACGCCGACGCCAAATCCTTATCCTCCGTCCCACTCTCCTTCCTCTGCTGCCTCCGTATTCTCAGATACCCTCGCGCCTGCAGCTATCCAACCGTCTGTGACACTCAGCGTGCTCATCGAGCGGGCTACCTCGTTACTGCAACGTATGCAAACGGCCGACGCGCTCTCACTTACCAACCGCCTCAAGCGGGCGCAGATCCGGGGTGCAGACGTGAATCACCTCTCCCGGACCACCGTTTCTGGCATTCTGGCAGATGCCGGGAAGCAGCTGCGAGCGGGACCGCAGGAGGAGGAGCTCCGTGCTGGGAAGCGTGACGTCCGTTCGCTGCTTGGTGTTCTGAGGGAAATGTTCCAGACCATGGGGGAGATGCGGGTCCTGCTCAATGAGGTTGTTATCGATCCGTCGAGTGCTCCGCGGGTGAGCGAGGCGGCTATGGACCCGGGCAAGACGCATGGCGAGGCGGGTGGAGGTGCAGTTCCTGGCTGGATGGCGCCATTGTCCAAATTGTTTGCGGGCTCGCCTGCTCCTCGAGCAACAACGGATGTAGACCGCGGGTCGACTGCATCCCCTCTCGCTGCTCCGAGACCTATGCAGGCTCGGTTCGTGCCGAAACTTGGGCCTGCGGTAGTGGCGTCTACCACGACTGTGAATGTCGAATTTTCGGGTGCTGGTGGTGGGAGAGGGATGACGAGCACGTTTGATGCAGGGCCGATGATTCCTGGTGGTAATACTAATGCTGGGCCAGCGCCAGTTGCTCCGGATATCACGGGAATATTTGTTGGAGCTCCAAGGACTCGTACGCCCGACCCGTGGGTTGTCATTCCGCACCCGAAACTTCCGCGGCGGGCACCGTCTACTTTGTTACGACCTGGGCCGGCACAGCCTGTGAATCGGATGTCGAGGACCGTTGATGCAATGCTGGATGGGGTTGGGACGCCTACGAGGCCGACGGCGGAGGGAGGAGAGGGGGACGAGGGAGATTACGTTGCTCCGTTGCTTCAACGGACGCTGAGACGGCGGGGGTTGTCTGATTCGTCCATGCATTCGACGTTTACGTCTCAGGCGCCGGATGAGGATGGGGATTTGGGGTCGCAGCAGCCGCCGACTGGCATGTCGACAAGGGAGGCGGCGTGGTTGGAGAGTGGGTCTGTGCTGCAGGCGCTCAGTCGAAGGGTGCAGAGTTTCCGAAGCGGGCTCGGAGTTCCCACGCCGGTTACCGAGAAGGGGTCAGAGGTCGAGGCAGGGACAGGGACGTCTCCTCCTGCGCAACCAGCTCCCATTGTCACAGCTACCTCTCGCCGGTCGTCGCGTTCCTCGCGCAATGCGACCGAGTCGCCTCTCAGGACGTCTGGGTCGACTGGGTTTGGGTTCCTAGCGCATTTGGTGCCCAGTGGGGAGGTTGCCGAGACGTTCGCTCAGGCTGGGAGTTTGAGGGATGGGGCGGAGCATTTGCATGGTGCCATGTCACGGACGTATAGGCCGTTAGGTGGAGATCGGGAGTTTCTGTGATACCCTGGGGAGGGAGCTATTTGTACGTGGAGTCGTTTTAATGTACTTTTTATTACTTTTCTTCGATTTTTTCTGTATGTACGGTCTCGATTTTGAATGGCACGCCATGAAAAGTGCCCTCGGTGAACTTATTGCTCTTTGGTCGAGCTCTGTTGAGTATTGGTTTGGGTTTGAATTTGACATTCAAGCAATGTCCTCTGAACCGTCGAGATGTAAAGACCAATCCAAGGTTCAAACGTTCAACTACGACAGGGAATGTGATCATGAGGTTTGCTAAGAGCTTTCCAGAGATTCTGAGGGGACAATTTGTAATTGGTTGTATCAGCGAGCATGCTGCGACACACCCACCATGACGTCGCAGACAATGCTCATGAATCAACTTATTGCGGATTCACCAATGTTGAGCCCATTGCGCTCGAACCAACCAAGTCAGTTCAGAATGACTTGGAAGTTGGAACCATGGTGGATTTCGAGTAAAAGGAAAGTGTCGTACAACTCACATTGAAGTCGGGAAAGTACGTACTTGAAATTCAACTGATTGTTGTCCGACAACTCTGTGCGCCTATGGAAACTTCAGGCTCGAGCAGCTGTCGAGCTCGTCGCCGACTCGTGGGATCCAACGGCCTTCAAGTTCACCGTCGCATTTGCCAAAAGATGGCCGTCACGCCGAGCAAAAAATGGAACTGTAATTTATGGGTGAGCAGTGGACGGGCTATGCTTCACCACAGCAGGAGATGATGGACTGTCTGAGCGAAAATGAGATCGGATCATACTAGTACTGTCCGATTGTTAAGAAACACGAGTGAAGAATATATTGAGCTCAGGGAATAACCACGAATCAGGAGATTATTATAAGGCTCACGGAGAAGAAAAAAAAAAAAAGGACAGGAAGAAGAGAAAAAAGAATGCAATGGACACATTGGGAATTGAACCCAACACCTCTCGCAGTCACGTGATCAGAAATCGAAGCGATGCTAAGCGAGCGTGATAACCAACTACACCATGTGCCCATACGAATTAACCTAGCGGAGGAGATACCGACCCACCTACACGTAGGGAGAACAGCCCCAAGTCAAATTTGCTGCCATCCCAAACGCTTCGCCAGTTCAGCATTGCTTTGCTACTACAGGTTCGAAAGCTTTGAGAAAGGAGGGAGAGATATCGCGAAAGTCAAGTTGCAGCCGAGGAACAAGAGGTCGCAGAGATTTTTCAATCTACAACCCCCTTGAAACGCGACCGATGCGGATTCCTGATCATTATTTCTCCATTTTCAGCTTGAGATTTCTGATTGCCATAATCTGTCAAAGGAATTCGATAAGGTTGTGGCTCGGGACGTACTAGGCTTGCGAGTTGCTTGCGAGAGACGTGTGGACTCGTCGTGCTAGTCCAGGCTCTGAAGTATGCTGCCCTCAACTCGGGCACTGTTCGTCGCCTCCTGTACAACTGTACAACCTTGAGTCCTTCTTGTTTCAGTTTCTCCTGTCTTGGGTCTCGGCACAGCCCCTAGAGCATCCATAAAAGAACTCGATTGGAACTAACATTTTGATATCCGGACATCAGAGCACCCACTATGGACGCCAGCGACATATACAGCCTATTGCCGTGCAGCACTGTAGCGGAGTGAGTGTTCATAGTTCCCTATCTTCGTCGAGCCCTGAATTCGTATATCAGCGCGAAGAAACTCGGTCGAGAAAGACGCAGAGCAATCCAGGAGATCTCCGCAAATTGGTTCACAGACCCGACGTTGGACGACGACTCGGAGGGGGAGTGGTCCACCGATTGGAAGGACTTTGACATCATCTTCTTCTGGAAAAACCGCACGCACGACGGAACCATCAAAATCGATAAACTTTTAAAAGAGACGTGGGTTGTGCTTGGCACCATCGAGATGCTGGCGTTCATGCCCGGCGGTGACGGCCTTTATTGGTTGTTTTCGGCCGGAGGAGAGTACTACTTCTGGGCTGACTATCTGCTCAAGAAGCATAGTAAACGGTTCGCGTCTCACCAGGAGTTTGTGGACCGTGTGGTTAGGGGTGATGGCGCGGAGACTGGGTTGAGGCTCCCAGACGTGGTGGTTCCACAGGCTGTGGAAACCGATTTCAAGTGGTGGTTCGAGTAAAAAGTCGTACCTTGGGAACAGTCAATGTATGTAAGATACTCTGCTCAAAAAGGGCTCACGACGCGGCTGAAAACACAGATCGACTGATCGAGCTCACAAGTCAAGATGGATTCGAGGAGTTTTCTCCGGGGCGTAGATCGGTCTTCGCTAATGGGCGGACACTCTCTTCACTATTTAGTATTGATACTATTTGGAACCACTTTGGATTCTGGAAAGAGCCATGTACACTAGATTCCAAGGAGGATAATGGTTCAGCGGAAAAAAAGAGTCAAGGAGAGGAAGTAGAGCCAAATTCGAGAGCCGGGAGACATTCTTCGCGAGAGGCAGCGTCAGGTCAGTGGCTGAGGTCACAGGTTGTGTTGGGCTGATTAGGTAATGGTCAACACACTTGTCCTGTTCATCCATCTCGCTCAATCCCCGATGCATCCCGACCTCCAGGAGCGTAATCTGGATCGCCTACCCTTAACCATCCGGGTGAGCACATCCCTTTGATGACGACGTGAGCCGCGGAATAACAGGGCAAAGCGTATCGCCTCCGCGGCAGCGAAACCGAATCGCACATTTGCCCAAGTGCAACGCGCAAGAAATTTCATGACCGGCAACTTGACCAAAGAGCAGCGACTCGGCTTCCTACCTGTCTGGTTTTTCAATCTCGACCCTGCGCGGGTTCCGAGGCCAGCAATACTCGAGACCCTCGAGCAGAATCCAGCTGCGGTGGAGGACATCTCGTGCGCCGCCGTATCACTTCTTGGTTTATTCGATATTGGCCCGGCTTGGGACACCGCGGTGTCCTTGTGGCCTCGCGTGTGGCCGTGGGTCGACTTCATCCATCTACACTGGCACTATCTCGAAGGATTCCCCGCCCTCGGATCCCAACAAGAGTTTTACATCAGTTACATCTCATGCCTCCATCGATTCCATCGCGATTCGGATGCGGAAACCCTCGTACTCATCACCTCCACACCAAACTTCTGGTCGACTCTCGTTAAGGGATGGACTTTCTTGGCTGACGTCGACGATTCCCTTGACCGCCGGATCATGCTCAACGGCATCGGAGGATTTGCTGCTGACGCTGAGGTTAGCAAGCACCCGGAGCGTTTACAGGAGATGATCGACGAAGTTGGGAGTATCGACATTCTCGCTAGGCTCGTGATGGATTTTATTGCCGCAGTGCTCAAAAAAACTTCGCGCGACGCTTTCGTCTTTGTTAACCGGCTCCTACTCTTCATCTCCGACATCGATGGTCGGACTCGTGCCGAAGCAGACTGGCATGAGGTCCCTCTCGGCCGCTTGAGCAGCCGCTTGGCTAGCATGGGCTTTTCCTGGCAGCTCGTGTGCGCCCTCCTAGCCATCTGCCAAATCCTGGAGCCCGACATTGACCGTGTCGCTAACCAATGCATGAGACTGTTGACGCGGATCATCGGCCACATTGGGCCCAATACATGGCTTGTCGACCACCTTCAGTGTGGGCTCCTCCACGCAGTGCTCTTACTGGCTAGGAATTGCACTATTTACGGATGGAATTCGAACGAGCATGTCGAGTTTTTCATGGAAACTGCGATCCCCACTGGCTTGGTATACTATTACCCCGCCAGTGTGCTCAAGACCTCGATTACCGCCGCTGATGCTGTCATCTCCGGAGATGCGTTCAAGAAAAATGCGCAACTCTCCGAGATGTGGCAGCAGTTCCTGGGCCGTGTCACTGAGAACTTGAAAGTTCTTGGGGATGTCCAGGACGGTGGTTCCTTCGTTGCATACAGGGCTTGTGACAACACCCAGGTCTTGATTCTCATTCTTGATGTGTTTGCCGCTGCGCTCAACTTCTCATACAGTGCTGCAACATCCAGACAGGTGAATCGATGGCTGGCCGGTGCTCTAGCTGCCAGGCGTTTTATTATTGCTCCTCAGCTTGCCAACGTGCCGACTGGAAGCTCCGCCACAACGCTGCCTGTGCTGACTATGAACACCTCCTCCTTTGTACGTTCTCATTTCTTGCCGCCACAGCTCAAGTGCGACTGAATACCATACCGCACCAGCCGCGCGATTGTCAGCCCCGCAACTCCGGCACCGAGAGCGGTGGTTCATTCGAGCCCTCATCCAAAATAGATACATGCACGAACGGCGGTCCATTTGCGTCCAACAAGTCAAATTACTCGCATCATGCCACGCGGAATCCACCGCGGGCCTACGTCCAATCATATTCACGCTCTTCGACTTTGCCTTCTCTCCGCCCAGCGTCGGGGTGCATACGGTGGACCCAGCGCATCCGAGTCAAATAGACCCCGAGTTGCCTGCTGGCTCGCTGTTGGACACGGAGGGCCCTGAGTGGGCGGATTTGGTGTCGCGCGCGGATAAGGACCGCGGGTATATGCATTTGCATGGCATGCGCGTCATCGATGGTGGAGGGTTACAGATTGTGATCATACCGCTGCGAACGAATAATCTGGCTGTCTATGAGGGCTTGGTCGGTCTCGCGCATCAGATGTGCTTGGGCGAGGTTACGGAGGAGGAGATGGTTGATCGGGTGGATGCGTTGTTAGCTGCAAACGCGCATGTAGTGGAGATTCATTGATTACTTTGTATCTCGAATTCACTGCGCGGAGTACTCTGTGCTGTGCATTTATTCGATTCGGAACAAGGTTCGGAGACGAATTTGAGGAGTTTGGGATAGTAAGTAGACACTTCAGGCCAACAGGATGTACAAGTAAAAGAAGGCAAACCATGGACAAGCATATTGGCATCCGGAATCCAACCGGTAGCAGTGCAGACCAGCTGCAGAATACTTTGGACTGGGATCGTCACCTATCGTCCCTTGCCACGATCAAAACACCTCGACGAGCACTCGAAATTCGGCTGGGGCCGACTCAGAGAGCGACGTCAGGACCATTTGATTCGGCCATGACTCCGGCAGCGCCGAAGGAATACACTTGATTGAAAAAATAATCGGCCATGAGACAAGGACGTCCGAAGAGAAGGGAACAAACGATGAACATTGAACTTGCGACGGTTCGAAACGGATCACGTCCATGGGACGGATATTCAAAATCAAAAGTCGATTCACACGGTTGGAAAAGAAGCTACATTCACACTCCTGGCTTCCTGATACTTGTAAGTAATGCCTCTCAGAATGACCCGGGGAAGGGCCTGAAAGGGGGAGCTTAAAGTGCGGTTTTACCTGCTCGATTCATGGGACACCGAACAAAGAGCGGGTCATGCGCTACTCGCCGAGTGAAAGTACATCCAAGAAACAACCCACTGAAGAAAGCAGAAAAACCCGGGTTCGATTCTGCATATTGTGTACTGTACACAGTTTTCAGCGGCCAGGCACAGACATACCGCGCCACACCAACCTAGCAGATCCGCAAATGACCTTCATTTTGTATACGTTCTACTGTCATTGAATCAGAATCTACATGAGTGTGTGATGTTATATGCGGGGAATCAAGAAACGAGAACAAAGGAGCGTAGAGATGAGTGCAGCGAGAAGAAAGAGACCAAGGTAACGAGCGTAAGTGTGAGAGCGGAAAAGAGAATGCAAGTCTAGGAGGCAGACAGATCTAGCGCCGGAACATGCGCTTGAAGAGTGACTGCGACTTGACGCGCTCTTCGGCTTGGGGAGGGTACGTGTAAGTGTACGTGTGGTTCGCGAGCATCTGTAACTACACGCACATCGTCAGCATAAACACAAAAAAAAGAGAAGGAAAACGCACAGCAGCGCGATTAGGGGCCTGATATTGCGCAGGCGAAACGAAATCAGGCATCGGCGGACGGGCCTGTTGCGTGCGGTGGGCAGTGGATCCGGGCTGGGCACCGTAAAGCGTGGCAGATGAATGAGCCGCACGGGGTTGGGCGTACAAGGGCGGCGGGTTGGGGTGAGGTTGGATGTATTGC